TCACCATATCCATTTCACAATACTATTAAATAAATAATTTGATTTCTTAATACAAGATCTATGTGTATCTTTATTGGTTTTACTTCAAAAAATATAAGGCAATTTTGGCATCGGCATTAGGCGGGTGAGTCGTGCGACGTGAACATTTAAAAAAAAAACAYGGATGATACCAGCAATTTGTATAATATCCCCARAGCCATAGATACTAAAGCTGAAATCCGAAGTCTGCCACCTAGCTGCTCTTCTAATAGTGCCATTTTTTCCCGATTGAAAATTAAATAATTATTAGTTWATACCTGCATGGCTTCATGGCTGTATAATTAATTTATTAGTAGGTAAGTGTTTCAACAAAACGTAAAAGTTGATTTTTATATTAAAATTCAATAAGTAATTGTGCGTGCGAGTGTTTTAAAAACATCTTATTTTTTTACTATATTATATTTTATATTGAACTATACCTGATATTCTATCGAGGTGCATAACAGAAAAAGAAGCTAGTTTAGAAACTAATATTTTAAATTACATGTAATGTACAATTGGGGCCCGAATTTATTTGTAATTCAGACAATTCAGTAGTTGAAAAATTCATGTGGCCATGTGGATGATCTATACATGGGTATACTAGGTTASTCATAACTCTCATAAGTTGTTCTTAAATAAATTATTATTAAAAGWCATCGAAAATTTCATATACTTTGCGAGGATGTCAGCACACCGTTTGTTTTATCTCTCTGACAGATACCAGATATTATATCAAATTTATGTTTAGCAGAACTAAACCAATATTATTACCTTTAATATTAAAGTAAATTCACCTGTAATAAAACTTTAAGTTTAAAGTTATGAACATTACTGTATCTCTACATTGGCAATTTTATGATGTTTTAGTTTTTGTCAGGAGATCTAGACACCAGTTATTTTATTCCATTGTATCATGGTGTAGATGTTATTTGGCAAAGAGAAATATAATGAAAGGCTTGGAAGAACTGAATAACATACCACTCAGAATCAATTTCTCGCCGTATACAGTGATTTATCATTGAATTTAAATTTAGAACATCTAATACAATCACATTTACTATACAGCAGAGTGAATTCCTTAATTTCTTTGATAAATGTTACTGAAAAAGCATTACATTTTATACTATGATCATATATCATACATTTTTCTTATACAATTTTTAAAATGTTATGAAAAATAAATAGACAATGGTATTTATTATGATGTAGATACCAATATGAATAATTATATAATTATATTATATTCAAGGAACTTTTTCATACAAATGTTAATTGGTAATAATATATATTATTATAAAAATTTAAATTGGTTTTTAGTACATAATATAATAAAATAACTACAATAAATCAAAGCTTGTAACTAGGAATTTAATGGTATAAAATAAAATAATATTGTTTATTTTATAACAAAGTAATAATTTTGYCTAACTTTAAAATATCTCTCAACTATAATTTAGGTTATGAAATAAATTTCATAAATTATTTTTTTGTGTTCATAAATATTATACTTATAAATTACATAGTATGGTTACAAGCCCTGCTAGTAACAATAATAAAAATTAAATACACAATGTTCAATAGTTGAGAAAATTGGTTTACTTTTTGTCACAAATAAGTTTGCAATAAAACAAAACAAGCATGACTAGAAAATAATGGTATACATCAGAATATTCGATAAAGGTTCTGTTTAAAATATAATATTCAAATAATTTAAAGTAATATCAGAAATATGTGTGTAAAATATAATCAGTTCGTCAAATAAACAATTCATTTTCCACAAACTTGAAAAATAATTTAGTTTTTTCATAAAATAAACTATAAAGCTCTTATTTTAATGTATGAGAAGCTATGTTCTGAAGTTCTGTTATAAATAGTAAAAATTATAATAGCAATTTTCAGCATTTCAAGCATTAACTCCTCTCTTATTCTTCTTGTACCGAGATGCATTTAAAAATTTGTTTGACATACTGTTTTGGTTCAATTTGGCCTTCCTTACATCTAATAAAACGTCTGAATCTGAATCCGTGTCAGATAATTCTAAGTGCGACATTGAACCTATAAAAACAAAATACAACCAAATTTTGATAGTGAATAATGGTGATAATAAATCATAAGACTAACTTTTCATTGAGTGATTATCTTCATCGACTCCAACCAGTTTGTATTTTTTAATTTTTTGTTTGGTATTACAAATGCGATTGCAGAAGCAAGCAATACTCCAAAAACAAAAAACTGTAGTTACAAACATGGCCACTAATATGATGACCACGTATACAATACTCCATTCTATTAAAAAAAAAAAAATTGKAAAATAGTATACAAAAGTCACATAATAAATATTCTATAAATAATAATAACATTAATGATATCCTCTACCGCATTGATTATTATTTATATAATCCTTTTTAATTTATTATTATTATTATTTTTTTTTTTAGATACTTACAGTGGGTTTCAAATCAAATACAACTGCTAAGAGTTTTTGAAAACATTTCTTTTACATAATTTA